TATGTATTGTCAGTTGTAGATCTGTATTTGATGCTCTGTTGATGTTTGTATGTTGTTCCTCAAATGTAAGTCGCTTTGGATAAAAGCATCTGCCAAATGAGTAAATGTAATTTTATTTAGGGATGCACCAATCCTTCTGATAGGTATAGGCTTAGAGACTCACCATATTAAGTGAATCAGGTATCCCCAGCTGTGACGATCAAAATGAAATATTTTCTTTTCCACTCCTTACATTTACTGCGCTGTGCTAATTCTGATGCATTAAGATACTATCATTGCTCATCACGTCCTGCAAGCGCTTCACAATAAATGCCTTTTTAATGTGAAGCCCGTGCTAATTATTTACTAGACTTTTTGTCTGAAAGTAATTTTGAAACATTGCATGGACGCCCTAACAATAGATCTTATTACATGTTTTATAAAGCTTGGTCGGGGAGAGCGTTTTAAAACGAGCACTGACGTAACATCTAATGATTCGGCAAACTTTAAGCAACTAGAGCAAAAGAAAACACTATGGAGGAGCTATGTAAAATGCTAGTTTAGCAGGTTGGTTTAGGTTTATAAATGAAAAAGAAAAAAACAACATGGAGCCATGCACAGGTGAACTGGTTTGATGAAGAGCTGCAGAAGCATCTAAAGAAGCTGAACAATGCCGTTTGCCTCAGCTGTCCTGTGGACACACAGAGGACAGCAAGCGCAGCATCAGATTTGATCACAGTGTAGCTCAGCACTGTTTGTGAGTATCGGTACACAACATCAGTAATCTGACAGCACAAACTGTGTGTGCCACAGCAAGTTCTCCAAAATAAATGACAAAATACGTATTTGTCCACGCCCTCTAGAACAACACATAAAAGCCTTTTTCTGATCTGACGCCGCTATCAGCAGGACATCATTTGTCTCTGCCTTCTAAAACCATTACAAAACATAAATCTGTTTTATGGTGTGACAGTGCTATGGTTAAGGTTTGATTAAGTTTAGGCACAATAACAAATTGTTTAGGTTTAGGGAAACATGGTAGTTTGGTAGATCAAATGAATATTTCTTTAAGGTTAGAGGACCTATGTCATCATGGTTACAATCAGTGTTGGGCAAGTTACTCAGAAATTGTAATAAGTTACTAGTTACTACTTATTACTCCTTGAAAGGATAATGATATTACTTTAATTATTACTATAACTCGTTACGGTACTATATTTCTTTTCTTTTTTTGCTGGTCGCACAAAGTTTACGGACGGCAATGTTCTTTGCAAACAGCTGACTTGAACAGTATAAGGTCCGGTGCTGCTGAACTGCCACGCAGTCACGCATTCACGTCAAGGATGGTGTGTTTAGTAATGCAGTAACGAAGTGTTATTTGGATTAGTAACTGTAGTAATATTACTGTTTATCGTTAAATAGTAATCCCTTATACTAGTTACTGGGAAAAGTAATATTATTACAGTAACTGTACTGCCCTACACTGGTTACAATAATAAACAGTTAAGGTGGAACAATCGTGTTCATGCTTAGAAAAAACGACTATAGCTATTGGATGAAAATGGGAAAGAATCAAACCAATTCATCCACCCCAACAGCATCTCTACTCTGACTCTGTCGCTTAATATCGTCGACTTCCTGTTTTGCTTCTGTCATAATTGCTTTGGCCGCTTCGTCACTAGACTGTAAACTTGTCATTTTGGGGCACTTGCTGAAAAACTGATGTTGTAGTTCTTCTTGTGAGTACAGTCTTAGCTGGACGGCATGGTGTATCTGCCCTCAGGTCAGGATATGGGAAAAGGATAACAAACTTCTGCATTCTAACAACACAATCTCATAAACTGTCTGGAACAGTATCATTTAAATATGCACAAGCCTAAAAGAACAATGGCGTATGAACATGTCCATTTAAAGTAGTTGCCTTAAAGTTAGCTTGCAGAAGAACGATGTACTCAATGTCAGCAGATACCCTGAGTTTAGGTATTGGAATTGGTATTGAGACAAAGCTGGATTAGTGCTAGTAATATTTACATTCTTATGAAGGGTTACACATGTGAGTCAGTCAGGAACTGATTGTGCCTGATCAGAGTTTTTGGTACAAAGCAGGATGTGTTTGATGTGGAGATGGTCAGCGTACAAACAGAGCGGGATGACATGTCAGATGTGAAACACAAGGTTTTTGAGCCGGATAGAGTCCATGTACCCTCCCGAAAACACACAAGGTTCTCAGTCAGGCCTCTTCCAGAGGGATTTGTGTTGCAGGAGGAAGGTTAGCTGTACCTCTTGCCCTACATGTTTTTAAGAAAGATGATGAAACATGAGATCAGCTCCGGTGAAACTCCAGAGAAACGCACGACCCTAGAAGAGAAATCAGGTCACGTACAAGAAATGATAGGGAGGTACAAAGTGTGAATGGCACAGACCCATGGGCATAACATGGGGAAGGTAACTGAACATGTGTATCCTCAAAACAAAGTCTGAAAAAGGAAATTTTAGGGCAATCAAGACTTGGAAGCTTCAAGGACCCATGTGAAACCCGCAGCCGAAAATAATCCAGACAAGAGGCAGCGGTACAGCTGGGAGAACAGTGCAGAGATGACAGGGACAAATAGAGACGTTTTCCACCAAACTCTGAGTCACATTCAGGAAACCAAGGATAAAGTTATTCAGCTGCTGTTCTCCCACGTCTCTGATCTCTTACACTGACACACACACACACACACACACACACACACCAGCGTTGGCAGGTGCTAGAGTCTACCTTTATAAGTTTATGAGATCAGATGATAAGTGTTGCGTTCATGGTAAAGCTGTGACAGTATGTACTCATTTCTGTTTCAGCGGTACTTTGTCCTGCTCTCTATCTCTTTATGTTAATAAACACGGTTAGGTTGTCTGACTATATGCGCCTGGCCACTTTGAAATGTACTCATGACACCCACTCATTCTCTGTACAAGAGATAAAACATAAATTGAAAGATGATTTGGCTTCTTTTGCACTCATTATACAGATATTCAGAGGTTAAATAAAAAAGAGGAGTTTTCTGTTGTTCAGAGAGTTTACTCATTCATTTTTTATGTATCTCCGGGTTCATCTCAAAGCAGCAAAGCACAGTGTTGCTCCATTTTAATTTAATTTGGTTGCTCTGAATATTCATTTATTACTGGAATAAACCCTAATGATAAAATTATTCACAGTTTTGTCTTGAACACAGGCATCATTTGGCAGTTTCATGAAAAAACAGCATGGTTTTATCTTGATTAATAATGTATTAATGGGATATGGCTAATTTGTTAAATGTAAGCAGAGATTATTTTGTACATTACCCACTAAATGGAACAAAGTCAGTGGGTCCTGTTGTAAATTGAATTACAATGTACTTGAATTCCAACGATATGATATCCCTCTTACATGCATCATATACTGATATCCATCCCTATTTGGAAGTTCTAGCAAGTGTATTATATTAACTTTAGACAGAGCCAGTTAAGCTGTTTCCCCCAGCATCCGGTCTTTATGCTAAGGTAACCTAACCGAATGCTGGGTGCAACTTAATATTTAATTATGCCTTTAAGTTGCAAAGTGTTGAGCTCTCTCGGCCAACGTAAACTTGTCATAATTTAAGAGTTTCTCATTTTTAGAAGGTACAACATGGCAAAAATGAATTAGCCTATTGCAGTCCATGTAATTCTCTAATATTGCATGTGATAGGTCTTATAATCATTCATACTGAATCACATTCCCTTTGTGTGTAATACCTAAACATCCTCGAACAGTCAGTTATTAACGCATACAATATACTGCAATAGATTTTCGTCTGGCTACGAGCATTACCTGTTCTTTGATCCACAATGAAATGTGTTTCTTTACATCATTTCTCAATGTTCTACATTCATAAACTATTCCCTCCTAAGTCTCAGCTCTTGACACCATTCAGGCTCAGAGGGGATGAGCCCTACACACAGAATAGCTAATGCAGCTACCACCAGCTCAGGAAATAGAGGAGTAATACCAGAAAACCCTGTCTTGTCATTTCTCACAGGCTTAGTCTCGCTTTTGTCTTTGATGTACACTGTATCCTGGTGTGATGCTGCATTCATGTCTCTTTATCCACTGTGTACCTGGGCTGACTCAGCAACAGTGTTGGGCAAGTTACTCAGAAATTGTAAAATATTACTAGTTACTTATTACTCCTTAAAAAAGTAATATTATTACTTTACTTATTACTGGGTGATAAAAGTAACTTGTTAGGTTACTAGTTACTATATTACTTTCCAGTGTTTTCCACAGAATGACAGCCGGGGGGGGTTATAAAGCAAGTAAATCCAGACTATTAAACAGCGGTTTTACTGCCTATTTATAAGAGCAGTATTCAGTAGATACAAAACGTTACGTTAACGCCACTCTCTTCTCAGTAACGAGTAACGCAGCGTTACTTGCCTTAGTAACTAGAAATAATATTACTGTTTTAGAAAAGCAATAAAACATTTCTCAGTGAAAAAATTTTGTAGTAAGGAAAAAACTTGAAGGACACTTTTCCTAAACACAACATGTCACTGGAACAGCCTTGCAAATAGTGATCTGTGATCTCAAGGAGAGTTAAAAGATGAGCTGGCCTCAGGGTCAGTCGCTCTGTCTCCCAGGACCGCCGTGAATCAGTCATCCCCACTGTTTGTGCAATGGAAAATATTTTTAATTAGCCTGTCACTTGTGCTGCATTTGCGAGTGACATTTTCAGATATAAAAGCTCTTTGCAACTTTTATCTGAATAAAATAATTCATAGTCTCTTGACAGGAAAGCAGTTCTTTGTGATTGTCAGACAGACTTTTGGATTTCAATCTGGAATAATCTGTTTGTAATAATGAGCATTCAACACCATGTCCAAAGTGAATGACATTAATCAAGCGAATGACTTGGAGTGATGGCTCTCTTGTCTCAACTTGCTCAGTTTCTTTCCCCACCGCACTGAAAAGAAGATGTAATCGTGGACACGTGAATGAAAAAAGTTCAAGCAAGAAGGCAAATAACAGTCATATTTACTGCAAGGTTTACACTCAGTGTAATAAAATGCTCATTTAGAATAGTTGTAAATGTCTTTTTTTTTTTTTTAGAATTTATTGTAAGTCCAAACAAAAATAATTTCTACAAAAAATATTCAAATAATGTCATATAATATTGATACGTGGTTGATATCTTTTCTCTCTCTTTTAGACGTCTGATAATAATTCTGTTAAATTCTGCTTCCTGAATACTGTGTGAAGATTAAATCTCGCTAAGTGTGGCAACAATCACTCATTCCTATAACAACCATAATAGTGACTAAGTTTTTATCATTTGTAACCCCCTGGATAATATATAATATGTATAATCTCAGCGACTGTTAGTGGGCACATTAGATACAATGACTGAAGATATAATTAAAAAAAGAAAATGCAGCAGAAATAGAATAAATGTAAAATCAAGCCTCATCTTTTGAGAAGAAATGAAACCTGGTTAATATACTATGTAGGCCTCAGCAGCAGGATCAAATGCGCTCCTCGCCTCCCGACCCCTCCTCTGTGTCGACACGTCTCGCAATCTCACTGAGTCCGGTAACGCACACGTTGGCCGTCAGTCGAAAGGAGGCGAGATCCTTAACTCAACAAAGAAAAAAAAGAAAAGTTCCTTGTGGTTACAACAGCCATTCCCTTTGAAGTGAAACAGTGGTGATTTAAGTGTTTTGTTTATGCTTTTTGGTTTGATGCACATTTCTCCAGCTCAGGAATAAAGGGAACAGTGGTTGGTATGATTTTTCCCCCACTTCGTCTGCATCTCTTTTCTCTGTTGTCTCTCCCCTTTTTTTCTGTTTGTCCTTCTCACACTTGAGCACACACTCAGTATCGTAACAGTCCTGTGAGGTGTGTGTGTGTGTGTGTGTGTGTGTGTGTGTGTGTATAGCAGACTGGGGCTTATTAGTGTAGTGTGTGCGCTTTTGCAAGTGCTGCGGTGTGTGTTCGTTGGGGCCGTGACTGGGATGGCCCTGCCCGCTCTGGGTCACCCCTCGCCTCACGTACACACACACACACTCCTTGGTCTGAGGGGGCTTTCGTGGCTCAGTGGGCAGTTAACATGGCCAGCAGGTGGGATAGCAGAGTGCAGAGCAGCAGGGTGGCCATGGAGAAGTGCAGGGAAGAGGCAGCATTGCAGTCCTTGCCCGCCTCACAGCGGGAGTGTTGGCACAGAACCCCCTTAAACTCTGGAGGACAGATGCACTTCTGGTTCTGGTAACACGTTCCTCCATTCTGGCACAGGAGCATCTCCTCGTCACAAACGTTAGCTGCGAGCAGAGACGAAGGCAGACAGAAGGAGCAGAAAAGGGCGTAGTAGAGGAAAAGTGGGAGAGTGAAGGAATTGCAGAGGTAAGGAGAATGAGAGAGAGAGAGAGAGAGAGGAGTTGGGAATAAAGAGGGCACAGCAAAGTGACAGACATTAAAAGGATAGAGGAGTAAAGTACACAGAGACGAAAGAAGATGTATGGTAAAGAGAAAGACAGTTGGGGGGAGATATGGAGGGCCAATGTTTAAAAAAAAAAGCATGATAGGAAACAGATTCAGGGAGAGGAGAAGAATTCAGGGCAGAAAGAACAAAACAGAAGATAAGGCAGGAGGAAGGAATGAGGCAAGATAAATTCTCCAGTCTTTACCTTTGGGACAACAACAGGTAACACCTGCCTCTTTTGTTTTTGTAGCCCTTTCCTCTGTCTGTTTTTTCTAAAGCCTGCACTTTTTCAGGGTCAAGTTAAAATCATTGTCAAACCCAGCAGAACATAGGCCGCATGTGTGATATTTGTTACGTAATGATTGGAGGAACAAATAGCATAATTAAAATGCTATAAAAGGCATACAGGAAAGCACGGAAGTAGTTGCACTGCATAAGATTGGGGGAAACATTGCAAGTACTTGCATTTCGCGCTGGTAGATCATAACCGGGTTGTAAGTACTGCTTCAAAATGCCAAAAGAAGTAACAGGAGCAAGAGACAAAAAATAGAGAGTAGGCAATTTATTGAAAACTGCATTTAAACTCAAACAGGCTGTTCATCAGCTGATCAAAAGTTTAAGACCATAGCCCAAAAATAAACCTACAACAGAACTAAAAGTGTCAAAAAAGGACTCAGTAGTGAGTAGCCCCACCGTTCTTGTTGATCACTTCAAACACTCGTTTCGGCATGCTTGATCCGACTGTTCCCAGGAGGCTGCTGGGAACGTTGCTCCATGTGGTGACGATGGCTTCACGAAGGGCATCCACGGTCTGGAACTGACGTCTGTTTTTGTAAACTTCCCTTGCCATCCATCCCCAAATGTTCTCAATGGGATTTAGATCAGGAGAACAATGCAGGATGGTCCAAAAGAGCAACGTTATTCTCCTGGAAGAAGTCCTTCGTCAGGCGGGCGTTGTGAATTGCAGCGTTGTCCTGTTGAAAGACCCAGTCATTACCGCACAGACGGGGGCCCTCAGTCAAGAGGGATGCCCACTGCAACATGTCCACATAGCCAGTCGTCGTTTGACGCCCCTGGACAACCTGAAGCTCCATTTTCCCATTGAAGGAAAAAGCACCCCAAATCATGATGGAGCCTCCTCCACTGTGCTGCGTAGAAAACATCTCCGGTGGGATCTCCTTGTCATGCCGCAAAGCTGTGTCTTCACGGACAACCCGTCGGATCCTGCAGCTCAGTGCAGGTGAAATTTTTTTGGGTCTACCACTTGACTTTTTTGTCCCATAACTCTCAGGATCTTTTAAGAAATGTAAAATGACTGTCTTACTGCGTCCAACCTTGGCAGCGGTGGCGCGTTGCGAGAGGCCTCGCTTGTGCAGCTCAACAATCCTGCCACGTTCAACGAGAGAAAGCCTTTTTGCCTTTGCCATCAGGAGATCATGACAGTGTGACTGCCTGAATGACAGGAAAGCCATATTTTTGTGCAGATTTTACCTTTTTATGCCAATGGTCTTAAACTTTTGATCAGCTGATGAACAGCCTGTTTGAGTTTAAATGCAGTTTTCAATAAATTGCCTACTCTCTATTTTTTGTCTCTTGCTCCTGTTACTTCTTTTGGCATTTTGAAGCAGTACTTACAACCCGGTTATGATCCACCAAAACGAAATGCGAGTACTTGCAATGTTTCCCCTGGTCTTAAGATTTTGTTCAAGAGTGTACTTGACCTAAAAATGTACTGAGACAAAACAGAAAGGATCACGTTTCCAGGTAATCAGTTGGCTCTGTTGCTTGTGAGCATTTGGAGTAGGGTGTAAAATCTAAAACACGTGGACTACTATTTACTGTAATATGTCCCATATAGTAATACATAAACCCACAGTTAAAATGCTTGCATGCTTGTGGAGGTTTAATGTGTGTGTGTGTGTGTGTGTGTGTGTGTGTGTGTGTGTGTGTGTGTGTGTGTGTTGGTGGAGAGGGTCTATGTGAGACTGAGGCCCCTGACTAGATGGTAGATGGTAGAGGAAGGCGATTCCCTGTAATGGGGTTAAGGAGTGACAGGGTCATCAATTAAAGGAGCAGCTGAAGCTGCTAATGAGCTACATGATCTATTCCCATGGGAGTAAAGAAAACATCGGGAGATACACAAGCTAAGTGGCACAGTGCAGTCGCAGAGGTCCTGAAAGGCTATGACATTTGTTCCTGGATAGACGCAAACCCATCAAAAATCCGCATCATTATACTCACAGTAACAGCCTTGTTTCCAGTAGTATCCTGGCACACAGTCGTCACACTTGGCCCCCGTGGCACCTTCTTTACACTGGCAGAAGCCCGTGCCATTACATCGGTCATGAACAGAACCCATCTGGTTGCAGTTACACTCTGGAAGAAGAGAGAAGTGGAGGAAAAAGATATGGAGTCATTTTAAAATTCCGACCTCTTGTAATTTTTTTGAGATTTGACCCAGAGTTTAATAAAATTCAGTCAAAATGTGTCCATTTGTATTCAGGATGCTGCAGAGATTCAGACCTGAAATTTAGAATGTTTTCAGCCAGATTAATTTTTGTGTTTTGCCCACCATTTTCCTTCTTGGTGAAAATCCAGATGCAAAGGTTTAGTGTTTGTATGTTTTTTTATTATGTAAAACTCGTACATAATGTGTGATGTAATGATGTCTGTGACTAAAAACTGCTGTGATTTAAAGCACATTTCATTTGGCATGTTATAACTGCTGTTGGATCCCACAGGTCTCTCTTTTTTTCTCAAACAGTGCACAAGAGGTTAACGTTTTAGAACATTTTTTAGAACAAATTCACTGAAATTGTTTTCCTAAAATCAGCACCTATCACACAGCCTGGGAGGAGACTTCTGTGACTCCTCTCCCATCTAAACAGAAAAGTGAAATGACAGACGTCCTATGTTAGAAAGTACTATATATATCAGATGTTGTTTGGAAAACTAATCCCGTCTAAAGAGGACTGCAAGTTCTTTTGATTGCAGAAGATCTGCTTTCAAAGGCAGGTAGAATAAGTGTAGGGAACATTGAGGTATTTTGAACAGCTAAGGGAGATGGAGAAGTGCTTTTTTTGTGCTGCATTACCACACAAACTAAAGTGCTGTCTGTCATATTTATTCTCAGAAACACCTTAAACTATCCCTTCCCACCAATCACAATAACATGCTGATGTGTACAAACATATTTTTGTTGTACTGAAATGCTAACTACTTACCGAGATTCATGTCAAATCAGACAGATGTACCTCTCTAGTGTTCACCTCTTTAACACAAGATGACATTGAATTTGTCTTTAGATTACTGAATTCATAACTTACTCTTACTTCTTAGGTACTTCTGCAAGTAATAATCTTTCTAAATACTTATATCTTATACTTTATCCATATCAGTGATAGTTGGTAGCAGATCAGATATGTTAAAAAAAAATAGCAGTGCTGCATATTTGCATTGCATTTGTTTTGTTGATGATGAACCAACCAGATATTCTCTAATGATTTAATTGAAGCAGATAGCTTGTCCTTCACTTTAACCCAAGATCAAATTAACTCATTTATTATAAAATTTATTATAAAATATTCATAAAATTGAAACAAGCCAGGAGGCCCTGATTACACAATCACAGCAATGTGGTTGGTATCTGTGTGTTTGTGGGTGCATTAACACTGGGACTGAATTTGTGTGCAGAATGCTTAGCTGTGAAAAATGTGTGTGCAAATGCATTAGTGTTTGGGAGGGCATAGTTTCTTGCTCTAGAGACGCTGGTGTGAACTGATTTCTGTTGCCATGCTCGGTGTGCCAGTATGTTGGCAGATGAGCTAATGGGGCCTTATTTGTGCTGACTCCAAGGCCTGGCCCTGTGTGCCCCCCCCAGCCGCGGCGAGTTTACCCTCCAACCCCCTGCAGTCCACCTACAGATGGATCCAAATCAACACCAGATTTTAGCTCCACAGCTATGCAAGCAGAGTGACCTCTTACTAGGGCATGCCCTTAATACGACTGGGTTTAAAAAGAGTAAATACTCTGTGAAAGCATACAAACAGTGTTTATGACTGTCCATAAAGATGTAAAAGTATTTATCTATAGTACAGTCAAATATTTTGGCTCCGTACTGGATTTAAAATGAGGTTCAATAGTTGACTTTCAGCTTCAAGGGTGCTCGAGGGTGTTTGCATCAGTATTAGTATTGAACAGTGTTAGACTTCCTAACCTTTTTATTACTAGTGCAGGCAGTGCAGTAGGGCAGCGAGCCTAAACATCGTCTGAGCATATTGTTGCACTTGCTTAAGACCAGACTTAATGCAAAAAGTTCAAGATAGCAGCAGTGCAGGCCTGGAAGAGCATCTGTAGCGAAAGTACCTGCTGATGTCCACGGGTCATAGATTTCAGCCAGTTGCTGACTGCAAAGGATTTGCAACCAAATATTACATTTTATGACTTTATTTGAGTCCAGTGCGTTCTCATCTCAGTGCGTCATTACCGACGCTTTCAGACAGCGTGACAAAGCATAATTATTATACACTAAAGGTACCCTTCAGCGTCCGTATGAAACACCACCGTTTGCTACATCGCAGAAACACAAAGAGGCTAACCCTACCTGCTAGACCTACAGCTGTAGGGTTAGCCGGTTTACATGCATAAAGTCAGTGACTTTCTGATGGTACTGGTAAGGGTAGGGTTCTTCGGGGGACTGTCAACACCTTTAACATGAACGTAGCTAGGTAGCTAGCTGGATAGCCAAATAACTACGCTACACTTTTTCTGAAAGTGTCGGTATTGGACACTCTGAGATGAGAACAGGCTCAGTCTGCATTAATTGATGTTTTTGTTAAAGTGGGGCATTGCAACAAGCTGGAAACAAAGTTGAAAGTGAAAGTTTTAGCAGATAGTTTGCCATTTACAAATCTAGCAGTTGTGGGAAAACTTGTGTAAAGTGTTCATTTGGAGTTGTGTTTCTTGCCACCTAGCAAAATTAAGTCCTAATTTTAGCTCTAGTTTGGTCTCCAGGAACTCCTGAGGAACTCCTCTCTGGCTCTAAATGTTCCACAACCTTCATCCGCTAGTTGCTTACTTTGTCTGTTTGGTGCTACACAGGTATTGTACAATGGGTTTTTAGAGCGAGAACAGCTACCTGCGGTGTTTGGAAACTATACTCATGAGAGTGAATCAAAACAGAGGAAAATAGTTGCGGGCGGTAAAACGAAAACATTGTGAGGAAAGGCGCTGAAACATTCCTGAGAGCTGAGGTGAACTGCATAGTGAGATAAATTATGTTTGGGTTCATCACTACGAGGGACACCTTCCACATTACACATAGTAATCTGGCTCGTTGTTAAAATAAAATAAAGATTTATTGCAGCTTTAAAGTGATTTCTGTTAAAATAGTGGAACGATATACAAAAAGGGCTACAATTTCTTCACTCAATGTGACTCTTCAATCTCAGTTCCTTTTCAAATCCTAGTAGAGAGCCAACACAACAAAATGTGTTTCATAAAAGTGTCAGGAAAGCAGCTGTATGTTTTTTTTTGTTTTTTGTTTTTTAACTTAGGCATCTATTTAAAATTTCACTACTAAGCTACCTTGATGTAGTGAACTTTGCTTGAAAAAAAACAACTTCTGAGTAATTGCTTGAATTTTAAAAGAAGTAACAATAGTCTCTCCGTGTCTGCCTTGTCTGTCAATCACACACAGCACACACACACACACACACACACACACACACACACACACACACCCTGCGCACATGGCCTCCATCCACTCTCTCTCCCCATCCACCCTGCAGACTGACCGATGCAGACGCTCTCATCATCCAGTTCGGCAGAGGCGTTGCGGAAGTATCCCAGTCTGCAGTGTTGGCAGTTCTGGCCCCTGGTGTTGTGCTTGCAGCTGACGCATGTGACGATGTTCAGGTAGTCGATGTAGCTGCAGCGGTTGGAGTGGCCATAGCACTCACAGTCTAAAAGAAAAGAGCCATGTTTCTTTTATTAGAGGAGTATTGTTGAAGTCAACACTTGAAACATGGGGTGAATTTTTTTAAGCATTCTCATAGGATTCTTCTGTGACAATAGGAAATGATAAATGACTTGCACTAACAGATGGGTCTAAAGGTTTCAGTGAAGAAATGAATGACTGAGTGTGTTTTATGACTTGCCTTTCTGACTCTATATTGGTTCAATAAAGACAAACCACTCCCTCTCCATGCCTACACTCACAGGTTTGCTGAGTCTGCTTCACTGGGCTTCACTGATTACTGATGGGAATTCCACTATCCTGTGTGTGTGTGTGTGTGTGTATGTGTGTACATGGCTGCTTGTGTATGTGCAGGCGTGCGAGTACAGGCACGTTAATTGTTCCTGGGAATTTAATTGTATTGCCATATGAGTAAATTGTAAGCTGCAGAATCATAACCAAGGGAGTTTGAGGTGAGTGATACAGTACAGTTGGTGTGTTTTCAGACTGTACCTGACACACCTATGAAATCAGTCTGACCCTGCTTAGCCTGGAAGAAAACCTCCGCTGCCTCTCCTCTCTTTTTTCTGTTTGTTCATTTCCACAGCCTTAAAATCTCTTTCATAAAGCACTGCACAATCGGAGCTCTTGATTAAATTTTCTCTTTGTAATTCATGAATTATCTGAGAGGATTTGATTGTAGGTTTTAGTCTACATGCTTGTTCGCTTGAAAAATTAAGACCTCTTCCAGATTTCAAACCCTAAAACCGAAGCTAAGAAAAAATTAAATTCTGTGCGGGAATGGTGTAAGACCTTTGTATAATTTTCCCACAGAGAGCGAAATGAAAGCCTGATATCATTTACCGTAGGACCTGCATTGTGCAGAGGGGTGCAGCGAGAGGTGGAGGGGGTTTGCTCTACATTCTCGCTACAATTATTTTGGCTGGGGCTGGTACCTAATTAAGGTTTTATTAAGCTTTAGAAGTTGGCTGCAGTAGTGTGCTGCAAGGCATCACTGTCCTCTAAAGAGGCATTTACCAGGCATGTTTATGCAAATACACATTTAAATGCACATTAAAAAGTCGGAGTTTAGCTGTTTAATCAGCCATCACATTATTATTTTATTATTGTTTGGTTGATGATGCCAGCTGAAATATTAATGAGCTGGTTTAAAGGAAGCCAGCGAGAGGAGCACTGTAAAGTGCCTCTCTCAGCACTGAGGGAACCATGCTAGCAGTGGGGGAAGAACTGCCTAATTAAATATAGATGGCCAATTACTCCACAGACTAGAGAGGCAATGGGACATTGTTCCACAAATTAACATTACGTGTCAAGATGCTGCTTTATTGGTGTTTATCAATTGTGAATTGTTAACGGAGAAAGACAGTTAAATTGAGAGAAAGAAACAGAGCTGCCTGCATCAAAGAGTCTGCGGGGTTGAAAGAATAATGGTATATTTTGCGATCAGTAAACAGGATGTCAATGTAGGCAACTGTTTGATGGTTTAATATGAATGAATATGAAGTCCAAACACTTACCTTGATCATGCACATAAAGCAAACACAACCAACAGGGAGTCACAGATGCATAGGGAAAAAATGAGCAAAATGAAAAACATGCTATGAAAGGAATTTCTCCACAGGTTTTCAACTTGAAGCACAGCATCCAAATGATAGAAAGAGTCTAAATCCAGTGATCTGAACCAAGGAATCCAGAGGATTTAACAAAGCCTGCGTCTCTTGTCTGTATCTTCAGACCACGTGCTGCTGGTGTTGGTCTCTTACCTTTGAAATCATCATATATGATCCCAAACAACTGTCTGGCCTGGGGCTCTCCTGAGATCAAGAGTTTCAGAAGCCCTTGAGGGATGAAGGAATCCTTTATTTAAGACTTGTCTCCACATCATTCACTATGCTACAGTCGTCTATAGCACTTTACCTTCACAGCAGGAGCAGGTATAACCTATAGGTTACTATCAGTACTACAGAGAGGTTGTGTGGATTAGGTGGATGGGATTCCCACTAGATACTACCTTTGAAGAAGGGGGTTGCTTTGTTTTATAAAGCTGACATAAGCTTCACCTAATACAGCGTTTCTTAACTGATTAGACAGAACCCAAAAAGCATCCTCAAGATTATATGAGTCTGTACGCAAGGAACAATTGTTGTGCTGCATCTGACTCAGAGTTTCCAAGTCAAGTCTGATTTGACTTAAGATATGACTATTTGTAACACCTGTGGTCGACTGGAAACTAGTGTGGCTTGTTTTTAAAACAAATCATAGGTTTTAAGATTGATACATGAAATCATTTTCAAAATACTCCCAGACCTTGAAAACAAGGTCCATTGTGGTGAGATAGCCATAGCAGTAGCTGTTCTTCAGCCTTTGGTTGAGAAATACGATCATTTGTGGTGGATTTGGGTTTTATCACCAACTGATGTTTCCAGGGTGAAGAATGAAATCTCATTCTCAATTTTTAAGCAAACATGGACAAGAAGAACTTAAAAGTGCCCCCAAAAAATGAAAACTACACTGCCATGACAGCTGGGCAAACTTCATATGCTTAAGAACATTGCGTAATACATTTGAAAACTCCTGAACTGCTACTAATTGACCTCGTGGTGAAATTCTTTTGCCATATCCAAAGAGTTTTTAAAAATTCAAATTGAAAACTTTTGTGGGAGATGTGGCAGGGTTTGTCTTAAAGATACATAGATACATAGGATTCAAACTTTAGACTAACTCTAGACTTAAAAAAAGCATATAGACCTATCAATAAACTTTTGCAGCTTAAGGTGAGTAAGGGGAATAAAAAAAATGTCAGTTTGAAGATTAAACCAAGAAAATTATGACTCAACTGTGGGCTCAATTGATTCTAATCGCCACATTTAAAAGAGCTATAATTGCAATTCGGTGTCACTTACTAACCTTCTGTTGATAAATGTTGTGTCCCAATGTGCAACCAGTTAGGAATCACTGCGCTATTTAACTCTTCTTCAAATGTTACCTTTCCTTTTCTCTCTTTCTTTCTCTTTTCCGTCTTCATCCTCTTTCTCATGAGTGTGTTTTGGGGTCTCATGACTCCCTCTTTCCCTCTCAGGTTTTTCAATGACTTGGTGTACTACAATGGAACAACAACTCGCAAATCAATTTATATTGACGTAGCATAGATTATGTCATGCTGTTATACCAAATGACGACTACCGAAAAGACAACAACATCCAATGATTTGTGACAAAACGTTGCTAATTTAAATGCTTTTCACATATATTCTAGAGTAATTGACTGAAGATAGAGGTATTATCCAAATGTCATAAAATGGAAAATGGCTTACCATCTATGATCAGTTTATCAGACAAGACTAGATGGTATTTAAAACTCAATTATTCTGAACACAGAAACAACAGTGTTATTTAAAAAGCATTTTCAATGTCAAATTCATCTTTCTTTTGTAGTCATCCCATTTTTTCAACTCCATCCTCTGGGCTGTTCTTTATTTCTTGCCCTACAGTGTCAGTCATTGTCTCAAATAAAAATATGCCGCTGCAGTTAGTACCAAATTAAGATTTAGCCTCATAGCGTATGTTGACTGACAGGCTATCACATAGTTAGAGACACATTTAGATACATTTGCTGCTTCTATTTTTTACTATGAGCTGCCTGGTGAGTTTATCTACTGTATATTTACTGCAACACAAGTAACCTACTGTATAAAGCTACTGTAAATCTACAAGGACACAACTACATATAAAAGAGATACCTCTCTTTTCAGCTTTTCTTTCTTTATGCTTCTCCTCTTCCCTTTCCTCCCCGTGCTCATATGAAGTTGTCGTTTTGTGCCCATGAGTCTCATGTCCTTGTCCCTCAGATGTGTGGGGGACTGAAACACCACAAGCAAGCAAAAATGTTGATACATTTCTACTGTTTCAAACTTTCAAGGGTAAATTTTTTGCTGTCAGTTTCCATGTTTAACTTGTGAAATTTTATCTTCTGCATATTTCCACTACTACATGTTAACTACAGTTAGCCACAGCCTCTACAACAGAACATTTAACCAGATACCTTGATGCTCCTCCTCCCTTTTCTGTCCGTGCTCATATGAAGTTGTTGTTTTGTGCCCATGAGTCTCATGTCCTTGTCCCTCAGATGTGTGGGAGACTGAAACACCACAATCATCATCATCATCATGTCTTAAGCAAAGCCAGTTTCTAGTTTTCAAGGGCCAATATTGTGCTGTCAGTTGCCACGTTTAACTTGTGAAATTTTATCCATTGCATATTTCCACTACTACATGTTAGCTACAGTTAGCCACAGCGTCCACTACAGTACATTTAAGGAGATACCTTGATGCTCCTCCTCCCTTTTCTGCCCATGCTCAGATGAGGTTGTTGTTTTGTGCCCATGAGTGTCATGAACGTGTCCCTCAGATGTGTGGGAGACTGAAACACCACAATCATCATCATCATCATCATCATGTCTTAAGGAAAGCCAATTTCTAGTTTTCAGGGGTGTATATTTTGCAATCATTTGCCTCGTTTAACTTGTGAAATTTTATCTACTGCGTATTTCCGCTGCTATGTTAGCTACAGTTAGCCACAGCGTCCACTACAGTACAAGGAGATACCTTTATGCTCCTCCTCCCTTTTCTGCCCATGCTCAGATGAGGTTGTTGTTTTGTGCCCATGAGTCTCATGAACGTGTCCCTCAGATGTGTGGGAGACTGAAACACCACAATCATCATCATCATCATGTCTTAAGCAAAGCCAGTTTCTAGTTTTCAAGGGCCAATATTGTGCTGTCAGTTGCCACGTTTAACTTGTGAAATTTTATCTTCTGCATATTTCCACTACTACATGTTAACTACAGTTAGCCACACCCTCTACAACAGAACATATAAGGAGATACCTTTGTGCTCCTCCTCCCTTTTCTGCCCATGCTCAGATGAGGTTGTTGTTTTGTGCCCATGAGTCTCATGTCCTTGTCCCTCAGATGTGTGGGGGACTGAAACACCACAATCATCATCATCATCATCACGTCATAAGCAAAGCCAGCAAGCAAGCAAAAATGTTGATACATTTCTGCTGTTTCAAACTTTCAAGGGCCAATGTTGTGCTGTCAGTTGCCACGTTTAACTTGTGAAATTTTATCTTCTGTATATTTCCACTACTACATGTTAACTACAGTTAGCCACAGCGTCCACTACAGTACAAGGAGATACCTTTATGCTCCTCCTCCCTTTTCTGCCCATGCTCAGATGAGGTTGTTGTTTTGTGCCCATGAGTGTCATGAACGTGTCCCTCAGATGTGTGGGAGACTGAAACACCACAATCATCATCATCACGTCATAAGCAAAGCCAGCAAGCAAGCAAAAATGTTGATACATTTCTGCTGTTTCAAACTTTCAAGGGCCAATGTTGTGCTGTCAGTTGCCACGTTTAACTTGTGAAATTTTATCTTCTGCATATTTCCACTACTACATGTTAACTACAGTTAGCCACACCCTCTACAACAGAACATTTAACCAGATACCTTGATGCTTCTCCTCCCTTTTCTGCCCATGCTCAGATGAGGTTGTTGTTTTGTGCCCATGAGTCTCATGAACGTGTCCCTCAGATGTGTGGGGGACTGAAACACCACAATAATCATCATCATCACGTCATAAGCAAAGCCAGCAAGCAAGCAAAAATGTTGATACATTTCTGCTGTTTCAAACTTTCAAGGGCCAATGTTGTGCTGTCAGTTGCCACGTTTAACTTGTGAAATTTTATCTTCTGCATATTTCCACTACTACATGTTAACTACAGTTAGCCACACCCTCTACTACAGTACATTTAAGGAGATACCTTGATGCTTCTCCTCCCTTTTCTGCCCATGCTCAGATGAGGTTGTTGTTTTGTGCCCATGAGTGTCATGAACGTGTCCCTCAGATGTGTGGGAAACTGTAACACCACAATCATCATTGACATAACAAACAAACATGTAGAAACATTTGATATGCTCCTTTTCTCATCAACCACTACTGCCACTACTACTTACAAAAGATATACCTTTCCTTTCAATTTTTCTTTCTTTATGCTCCTCCTCCCTTTCCTCCCCGTGTTCAGACGAGGTTTTATGCCCATGAGTCTCGTGTACGTGTCCCTCAAAATTCTGGGAGGCTGAAACACCACAAATTATCAGGAACATAACAAGCAAAAACATCTTATGGAATTCATTTTATACCTCATCAACCTAAACAAAAATGTTATGATGGTAACATTAGTGCCAAACTAAGATTTAGCTTTATAGCTTCAGTTGACTGAACGTCTGTTATGTCACTGAAGAGACAGTACATTTCTGCTTTTTTTTGTTTTTAGGAGCCAATTTTTTCACTATAAGCTGTTCAACTTGCGGTAAAAGATTAGCACTGGTAGTAAACATCTACAAAAACATGCAAGATATTGCAAAGACACCTTTCCTTTCAGCTTTTCAGCTTTCTTTATGCTCCTTCTCCCTTTCTACATGTTAACTACAGTTAGCCAAAGCTTGTATTACAGTGCTATACATAATAAGAAGATACCTTTATAGTCCCCCCTTTCATCCCCATGTTTAGATGAGGTTGTGGTTTTGTGGCCTTGAGTCTCATGACCGTGTCCCTCAGGCTTGTGGTGGACTGAAACCCCAGGATCGTCATTATCATAACAATCAAAATTTTGATAAATTCGAACTGTTTCAGTTTTCAGCGGCCAATATGTCTGAATATTAACTGACGGTGAATTGTTTATCTACTGCTTCTGTCCCTCATTACACGTTTACTACAATTAGCCACAGCCACCACTACAGTACAAGGAGATACCTTTATGCTCCTCCTCCCTTTTCTGTCCGTGCTCAGATGAGGTTGTTGTTTTGTGGCCATGAGTCTCCTGTACGTGTCCCTCAGACTTGTGGGAGACTGAAACACCACAATCATCATTGACATAAAAAGCAAAAATATGAGGTACATTCTATATGCGCTTTTGTCAGAAGCCGTAACAATAACGCTATGTCACAACTGTTAGTGTCAAACTAAGATTTAGGTCAGTAACTTAAATTGAATTACTATTATGCCACTGAAGAGACAATTTTATAATAGATACTTGTTTCCCATTTTCAGCTTTCAAGGACCCATTTTTCACTGTAAGTTGCCAAGTTTAATGTAGAGTGAAAGTTTAGCGTATCTACTGAATTTCTCCACCATTACAGGGAAACTACACTTGCTACCACTACATACCAAAAAAATACCTTTTGTTTCGTCTTTATTCCCATCCTCCTCCCTTTTCTGGCCGTGCTCAGATGAGGTTGTTGTTTTGTGGCCATGAGTCTCATGTATATGTCCCTCAGACTTGTGGGAGGCTGAAACACCATAATTATCATTCAACCAAGTTTAGTTTTGATCTTCTGCACATCTTCACTAATAAACTACAGTAAATCGACATATATTGAAGCAGATTTATTTTCCACTACACACAGAAGATATACAGTACCAGTCTCCTCTGTTTTTCTTTCTTTATGCTTCTCTTCCCCCCTTTTTCCCCCATGTTCAGATGTGGTTTTGTGGCCATGAGTCTCGTGTACATGTCCCTCAAAATTGTGGGAGACTGAAACACCACAATCATCATTGAGCGAAAAGCCCCATTAGAAGCTTAAATTAGATGTGTTTCTCAGCATCTTAACAACAAATAAAGAATATGTTGAATTGTTCTTTTTTTACCCGATCCATTATTCACCCTTTCCATCTTTCCCTTTCCTTGGCCTTTAACTTCATTGTCTGTTTGACACAAAAATATGATCGTAGTATTTCTTCCAAAATATGATTTAGCTCTGTATCTTAAGTTGACTGAAAGGCTCTCATGTTATTATTCATGTCAAGATTTTAACTGAATTTCTAGAAAATCTGAAAATGCAAATTAATGTGCTATGTTTCCATCCAGGACTGTTATGCGAATATTGATATTGGGGCATCAAGATAAACAGCTGGTAGCGCTAATTCTCCAGTCGGGTGCCATTAAACCATTACTGAAGAAGAGTGTGCAGTGAGATGATAAACTTAAAATAGCACCAGTCAAACCTCAAACATTGGAAAACTATCTCGAAAACCCTGATGGAAATATGGCATGTATAGTTATTTAATGTATTTGAGGAACCTTAGTCTCTTTATCAGTCCTCACACATCTTATGTTTTTATCTGCCACCATCAACACTGAAGTCATATATGCATTTTGTTTTTATCAGTACACCAACTTTTATACCTCAGTCAAGCTTAAATTATATTTTTGACATTTGTCGACTGGTGAAAAAATTGTGGTGTTTCCACTCTTTTTATTCGCACATTGGCATCAATGTGCATAAAAACAGGCGGGTGGAAAAACACACTTATGCTTTGAGTTTGAAAGTTTAACTCATAATAAAAGTTTGTGAACTGCATTTTTACTGTATCACAAGTAAACTGCAGTATATAAATCTACAGTGCTGTCTCAACTACATGAAAATATACCTTTCTGTTCAGTTTTTCTTGCTTTCTCCTCCTCCCTTTCCTCCCCATGGCTAGGTGAGGTTGTTTTATGGCCATTAGTTTCGTGTACGTGGCCTTCAGATGTGTGGGAAACTTAAACACCACAATTGTGATTGAAAAAATGAGCGAAAACATCTTATGAGGTTCATTTTGTATGCTTTTTTTCCCACCTAAACAACCTACTCCCACCTTTTCCAGCTGTTCCACTTAAGTCATTTTATGCCAATTTTAGATTTAGCGATAAAACTTAAGTTCACTTCATTTCACTGAAGAGACACATTTATATACTTTCCACTGTTTTCTCTTTCAGTGGCCAAGTTAACTTATGGTAAAGGTTTAGCAGATGGATGTTTACTGCACACCAAATTAACTTCTAAATATAAATATACACGAACATTGCTACCACTACTACAGAAAAGAGATACCTTTACTTTCAACTTTTCTTTCTTTATGCTCCTCCCTTTCCTCTCCATGTTCAGATGAGCTTGTTGTTTTGTGGCCATGAGTCTTGTGTGCGTGTTCCTCAGACTTGTGGGAGACTGACATACAACATTTTTCATTGATAAAACATTTAGATAAATTTCTGCAGTTTTTATTTTCACAATTTTTGCTGTGAGTTTAACCCACGGGGAAAGTTTATGTACAGCATATTTCCACCACTACAGGTTAAGTACATTTATCTACAGCATTTACCTTTATGCTCTGCCTCTTGCCTTTTCTGCCCGTGCTCGGATGATGTTGTGTGGCCATGACTTTCATGCGTGTGTTCCTCAGACATGTGGGGGACTGACACACCACAATCTTTATTAACATTAACAGGCAAAATTTTTGATATATTTCTGGTGGTTTGGTTTTCAGGGGCCAATTTTACACAATGAGTTGCCAAGTTTAGCTTGTGAGGAAAGTTTATCTACTGCATATTTACTGCACCACAGTTGTAAACTACAAAATAAGATACCTTTCCTTTCAGAATTGATTTCTTTATGCTGCTCATGAATCTCATGTATGTCCCCTCAGACTTGTGGGAAACTGGAAAACCACAATTATCATTAAAAAAATATATATTCCTGTTGTTTCCTAATTTTTAGAGACCAGGTTTTGCCGTGAGTTGTCAAGTTTAATCCTGGTCTACTGCACAACAAGTAAACTACAGTATATAAATCTACATATGTTGTAGTAAATTTTTATACTCTCTCTGTCTCTCTCTCTCTACATATATGTGTGTGTATATGTATATATATGTGTGTGTGTGTGTATATATCATGAGTCTCATGTATGTGTCCCTCAGTTTTTATATTGTGATACATTTCTGTTGTTTCCATTTTTTTTAAGGGACCATGTTTTGCTGTGAGTTGCAAAGTTCAGTTTTGGTCCACTGCACATCTAAACAAAAAGTAAACTACAATATATTAATTTACATATAGGTTAGTAGATTTATATACTCTTCACCTCTACACATAGATGTACCTGTCTCCTCAGTGTTTCTTTCTTTATGCTCCTCCTCCTTCCTTTCTTCTCCGTGCTCAGATGAGGTTTTGTGGCCATTAGTCTCGTGTACGTGTTCCCCAAAATTGTGGGAGACTGAAACATCACAATTATCATGAACATAGCAAAAAATAGATACAGTTCTGTTTATCTGCTACATATTTCCACCACTAATATGCAGATAGCTTCAACCACTACTGTACTTAATAATGGATGTACCTTTCCTTTCAGCTTTGCTTTCTTTTTCCTCATCCATCCTTTCCTCCCTGTGTTCAGATGAGGTTATTGTTTTGTGGCCGTGAGTCTCATGTTCATGTCCTTCAGACATTTGGGGAACTGACACACCACAATCATCACCGACATAAGCAAAAACATCTCATGGTATCAGTTATATATGTTCTTTTCTCAACATCACATCCCGAACAATAAATAAATTGTTAATCCACTTGTACTGTATCCTATAGTCTGTTTTTCATTTCTTGTCATTGTTTCAGATAAAAAATAAGGCACTGCTGTTGGTGCCAAAGCTATAATTTAGCTGTCTATATTGACTGACTGACTATCATGTCAGTAAAGAGATGAATCTAGATCCATTTTGGTTGTTTTCAATTTTTAGAGATCTATTTTTTACTGTGGTTTTACCGCATATTTACTTGCACCAAAGGAAAACTACTCTATATAAAGGTACAGAACTGCTACATATAAAAAAATACCTGTCTTGTCAGTTATTCTTTCTTTTTCCTCCTCCTCCCTTTCCCCCCCGTGCTGAGGTGAGGTTGTTGTTATGTGGCCATGAGTGTCATGTAGGCGTCTCTCAGACTTGTGGGAGACTGAAACACCGTAATCGTTATCAACACAACGAGAACAGGCATCGTATGAGGCATTTGACATGCTCTTTCCTCAGCAACCTGAACAATAAGAACTTTATAATTAGGCTGATGATGCTGTGGGTAAAGATTTCAGTTATCTGCCTTTCTCTCCCTTCCCATCTTCCTCCGAGACCTTGTTTTCCCTTTCTCTTCCATTCTCTCTCTGTCAGATAGTGGATTGCCCCATCAGGGGCCTCAGCCCTGGGCTTGGGAAAAAGCTGTGAGAGTCAGAGAGGCTTGAGAAACTCCTTCATCACTACACTTGCACTCTGGGTGTGAAAGAAATGACGTGCACTTCCTTTTATCTGAATGTCATGAAATATTCTGACTGGCACTTGTTCGAACTCTGCGTATGAGCTTCTTTCGTTATTATCTCCCATTATTGTAATAGAAGATCTGTCACTGCTCTTATTTTTGTTACCGTATTTACCCAACATATGAATATTCATATGAGGCTTAACTGTTTTGTATGACAGTAACGCCTTCTCATGGATGTACTTCCTTATGTTGAGATTTATTATTCACTCTGGTGCCACAATCACAAAAAACATCTCAAATCAATAGCGTAAGTACTAGAAACAACTTAACACACACATCCCACTTTTACTACATTTTTAATTGTCTCTTGCTCAAGTTTTCCCCTTCCTTCCCGTTTTCTCTGCATGTTCCACCTTCCCAGAGGGCTTTATGCCATTCCCAGGATCCTTTGCTTCATGTTTTTTGGGCTACAGCGAGCACAAATGAAAGAAGAGAGATGCAAAACTAGTTCAGTTTATGGATCAAGCCTCCTCCTTTTACCTTTCGATTTACTGCAACACGGGCACAATTCAATATATCACCAACGCCACAGTCCTCCGCACAGAGATGATTAAGACTAAAAATACAGATCACCGATCACACGAACAACAACCACAAAATGCACGTCATTGTGGGACTAATGATCACCAGACCACTCGAGAATACCGTGCTGCATGCTTCCATCTGTGTTTCCCCTTGAGGTGTTTTTGTGCAGGCGATGTACGTCTCCTGTTCGCCTTCTTCAGAGAGGGGCATCCTGCAAGCATCCAGCTCCCCTGTGGAGCGTCCCCCTTCAGGCTATCTCCCACCCACTCGCTCCCCTTCATCCCTCCCCCTCCCTGGGGCTCCAGTGAGACAGGACGCCAGCAGCTGTTCTCACAGCACCCTGGACCATTTCACACAACTGGCATCATGCCATCATTGCATCTCATCAAAGTAACCCCTGCCTACCTCTATTCATGTCCGACTCTGGCCCCACTAGACCTACTCCCTCACACATCTGTCACGGCTGCACACACGTATGTATCCACACACACACACACACTCACACACACAAACAGACACTCACACACTAGCCAGAGAAAAAAATCTCTTGTGGGAAAGTAGGATTCTGAATCACAGTTGTTTCAAAGGCTGATGTAGCACAGCAGAGAGCATAAATGCATTTAATCTCTGTAACCCATGCTGCCTTGGGGGTAGGAGTGATTTGAACCGTTCTTGACATTAATCTCAATCAGCTCATCCCGAACTGTCTGACATCACACACTGGCAGCCAGAGCATTTGGGGTTCCCGCTTGCTCTACACTGACTGAAAGAAGGGACCTCAAAGACCACGTGATTGTTTTATTTATATCTAGCCATTTTATGTATTAATGCTCCCACAACGTAGCATAGAAATTCAGGCTAATGTTGGGGTAAGTTTTGGGCTTGATTTTGTCTCTCCTGTTACCTCTTCATATCTTTACACCACTCTGATCCCGTGACTGATGCTCCCACAATCTGCTCAGTGTCTCTGACTGCTGCAGAGACAATGTCAACTGATCGCAGACTTTCACAAACCATCCACTGACAGTGCTCACGCACCCTCCTCACAACTGCCTCTCACTCACTCACTCACTCAACCACATTAACTAGATTTCACTGCCACTACCTAAATCGAATAAGCGTCTCTCTGACATGCGATATGATGCTCGACAGCATAAGATAACGATAGCTTGTGTAAACGAGCATGTTAGTGACTTTCACCTTCTGAAAACTGTCTATTTTAGAAGGGTTCCACATCATAAAAACCATCACGCTGGCTGGAAATGAAAATGATCTACTGATTCTAAAATTAGATTATTCTATTTTCTAGCAGCCTCTACTCTACGCTATATCTACTGTCATCTAGAGCTATGGGTGTGCCTTACCTCCTCTCTCACTATGGCTTGGCGAGTGTTTTTCCTCAGTTTTGAGCAGGCTTGTATGATGGTGAGAGTGAGCCAGGGGATGGAGGATGGACTGTACTGTGATTGAATGTTGGTGGTGATGATGATGATGATCAACTGAATGATGTGGGGACTCCTTTGAGACTTGGTGAGACAGTCGTAAATGCTGGGGGATTGTTTCTGAAGGTGTGTACTCCTCTGGTGTCAGGGAAACTCGGTGCTCCTTTGACAGAGAGGATGCTGAAGGAGAGAGAACCTCAGGAGGAAGTGTGTCAGATTCTCCCACGGGTACAAGTGTAGGCTCAGACAAAGGGCTGGTTGGTAACTCATTGTCTGTTAGTGAGGTCGAGCTCTCTGCAACTCTGGTTTCTGCCGGTGGAGCTCTAGTGTCTGTTGCATCAGTTGCGTGAGGACGGAGAATGTAAATGCAATGAGGAATAAGCAGGCGAAGACATTAGCATAAGAGATGCTGCCTCAGATTGTTTATCCAAAGAAAGCTTTCCTTTCCTAGCCTTCCTTTTTTTTTTCTACAAATGTGCACATACACACACACACACACACACACAATCATGCACGTTCGTACACACAGAAGTGAGAACACACAATGAAAGTGTGATTTCACACTGCTGAGATAGGCTAAACTCTAAAGCTGTTCCACAACCCTTTCTGTGCTGGAGAATTGTGTTGTCGTTTTTTTTTTCCCTGCAAAACACAGTGAATTAAAGGTGTGACTATTGTTAATATGGTTGTAAAATGAAATCACACACTGTTTGTCAAAGTGTATTACTCTGTTTTACACTTACAGTGCTGTGTATGAATGTGTGCATATGTGTTTGCACACGCTCAATTTTGTCATCTCTAAATCTGAGTGATGGAATGAACACTAATGCAATGAATCAGTTACTAATATCTAAATGTAGTACTACTGTACAGTGGTACAGTATATTTACTGTGACTTAATACACACGGCCTCTGGTGTAAGTTCCCCTGTTTATAATGGTTAACCATCACACAATAGTTTGGTGGCCACATTTTTATTAAAGAGTTAGTTAATGAGAGAAAATAACATAATTATGATGGTAGACATTCAGCCTTTCTGCTTGAATTTGGATTACTCCATTTACTGGTCTGATTAATTGATGTAATACAGATATTACGGTCAGTTACTACAGGTGTCTGATTTATCTGATTTCTTTTGGTCACTGGTCTACAGTTGTTGCTTAAAACATATGTTACATGTGAACACCACCAAGTACATCAAAGCTGCCTCTTTTTCTTTTTACACAAAACGTTGTCATGACACTACTTCCATATTCAAACGTCAACCTAAAAATGTAGATCAGATCTGTCTGTTGCCTGAAGGACAGTGTGTTGTCCACCTACGTAATAAAGTATATCTTTTTTATTAAGCAATGCGGTTGGAAAGCAGAGATGGAGAAAGCGTCGAACAGGCTCAAGAATTAGGGATCTAGCAGGCTTTAATCTCGGGCTAACTGGATTTGGGGTCCAGCTCTATATCGTCAATAAAAGCAAAAAAAATCTCTATTCCTGTATAATCACACTACAAACAGGACTAAATTACATTACACAACAAATCTCATTCTACCTAGTTTGCAAGTGCCTACCTTCACTTAGATCAAAATGGTGAGGATTTAGAGAGCTGAAATGTGGGTTTCCAACCCCCAAAACAGAGCTGCTGGAGGTAAGGGAGTCTGTATGTGAAAGTCAAAGGTAAAACAAGAGAAGAGGGGAATGAGCTCAGTGTCTTTTTCAGCCAGCCAACAGCGCCATCACTCTCTCATGCTATGCATCAACAATCTAAGCTGATTCATTATATAATCCTGTGACATGTGCCTGCCTGTCTGTCTGTACAGATGGACTCGCTAACTGTCCCATAACACACTCTCTGACACACGCACAAACGCACGCACGCACACACTACAGCAAGCATACAGTGTCCGTTTGTGTGCATTCCCTGCTCGGACACATTTTTTGGTGTCTTTCACACAAATGTATTTGCATATAATGAGATAATTTGTCACTTGCATTAAAATCGCCTAAGAAATTACAACAATAAAGTTTAATGCCACCTATCAGTCTTAGCATTCTCATCATTTATTACCAGAGTACTAGACATTGATTTAGTTGCACGTTAATGAAGCCATTGTGATTCAGGACCAGTTAACGTTCACCAGAACACCTAATAGCCGCAGCAGGAGTGACAGCATGGATGTTATTAATATGTCGCAAGATTTTCCAGACATGATCCAGTCTCTCTCAGTCTAATGCCAAATTCAATCTGTATAAAAAATGTTGTTTTCAATCATTCGATGAGATGAGGATGGTGCAGATAGGATTGTGGTTGGGCGACTGGATGATCAAGTGTAGTACAGCGTGTGAGTGTGCATACTCGTACTGTATCTGTAGTCAGGCTGTTCTACAGCCCTGGGATCAGATTTTGAAGGAAAAGATGAAGTAGGGTCATGTGAGATCATGGTGGCTGTTAAATGTATGACTGGGTTTTAGGATTTGGTTTCTCTGACCTCCCCTCACCCTTTGCCAAATGTCCATCTGTCCAGCTGACCAATGAGCTGCGGAGTCTGTGGATCAGACTCTCTTGCCAATAGATCGCTAATCCTCATCTGAGCATGCTTGGTGACTTAACTGGGACAGGGACATGACAAAGGGTGCAACTACTATGACATGCTGTCCAACCTATAAATCCGCTATAATGTTTCCATGGAAACATTTGCTTCAGCAGCACAGACAGTCAAAAATTTAACACAGAACTTAAAATCCCACAATACATAACCTAATCTGGGATTTGCATTTAAAAATTTTGGAAAAAGTAATAATACTGAAAATGTGATTATGTTTATATAACCAATGTTTATGTGGATTTCTCAAAAATGAAATCCCAGGCTGCATTAGCAAATTTTGACACACTTCACCAATACATTTTTCAGTGTACATTGCGGTTAGTAATATTTAAAAAATAACATAAAAGCTTTGAATGCAGTTGAGTCAGAGAAAATTATTGGAGATTACAGATTATATTGTTTAGGATAACAAATTGTAAACTGATCTAGTCATTAATGTCACAGGCCCTTCAGCTACACAATATAATAAAACTGTGTGTGTGTGTGTGTGTGTGTGTTGTCAGCCAAGCCAATTACACTTCTCTAAACCTGACATAAAAAAGGCAGGAAGACTCTATGGTATGATCTTCCTTTCTATTGTCCCAGAAGTGCAACTTGGCATTTATATCCGTACTGTTTTTTAAATTTGATATATTGTATATATGGTTTGTGCACTTACACTTTAGAAGTAGATACTACTTTGTATGTGCTTATATGTGAATAACACTTTAAATTTGACATTATGGATTAAAGCTGCAATGATTATTCGATCAGTCACTCAGCTAATTAACAGAAAATTAACTGTTCACAATTAACAAAATAAACTAAATTTTTAAGCAAAAATATAAAGTTAAGTTATTCCTGGTTTTCTTAGTTTTCTATGATAGTAAATTTAATATCTTTGGGTTTTAGACTATTGGTCAGACAAAACAAAAAGTAATGATGGGTATTTTTAACCATATCTGAAATTTTTATTAGCGATGCACCGAATATTCGGCAACCGAAATTAATTGCCTGAAAATAGCAAAAAAAGCACTATTCGGTGTTCGGCCTAATAAGTCAAAAGATCGAATAAATTTTACCGAACCATTACGTTGACATGTCGGCAGTGTGGAAGCATTTTAAAGTGTCAGACAGTGTTCTGCTGAATTGTCTCCTAGCACATCCACTCCATCTGTGGCTCACTTCTTAGAAAAGGCAACAAACGGTCTGACCCGCTTTGAGTGTTTCTATCAGTCGTGTGTGAAAAGGCGATTAAGCTCACTGCATCTAAATTTGGAGTGCACACGTATTCAAGCCTATGGTAAATCAACTGAAACGGACCAGTGCGAGCTGACAAGCAGGTTAGTGACTTTATCCTCTCAGTTTCTCTCTTTACAAAAACAAATATTGCGGTATGAAGAGAGAGGCTACGAAGTCTTCATGTTACACGATACAAGAACAACATTATTTATCAAATTGGGTCGGACTTGATGAATTTAGCGCGAGGATGCACGTGTGACAACGTCCATTTTTCAAAATAAGGTATCTATACATATATAAGTATGGAAATAAGATTAATTGGATTATATTCACAGAAAGTATAAAACTATATATTACATGTGTACATTAAAATGGACACATGTAATTTTACCCTCTTTGGATTCGGACCTACCCACCATAGTCTCTCCAAATCTTAAGAGATCACTGACTAAAAAGCACATTTTGACTATTTAATTTATGCAATGGTAAAAAAAGGCAAAATAAATGTTAAAAAAATGTAAAAAACCTTGTTTGGTATTCGGGAAAGTTATTCATGATCTTCGGTTTAGGCCAAGAATTTTCATTTCGGTGCGTACCCAATTTTTATACACTAATCGATTCACTGAAAAAATCATGTGCAGATTAATCGATAATGACAATGAATAACAGTTTCAATATAATTTAAACGATCACATTATGACTGTAAACATTAACATAGTTGTATTATTTTTCTCTATTCTTTTTAATATTCTTATATAACTTGCATTGTCTATTCCATATTTATATATTTCTACATTTATTTATGTCAACTGTATCTTTGTCTACGTGTAGCACCTTATCACCAAAGCAAATTCCTCGTATGTGTAAAACACTACTTGACAAAAAAGCTCCTTCTGATTCTGAAAACATCTACATGTGGTGTTCTGTGACGTTTGCGTCCTTCACAGCGGGCTTTAAAAAGCCTACAAGGGACTGTAACGATGTTTATACAACGTTAAGGCTTCTGTCAGGCCCTCCTAAATCACAGCTAATCAGTGAATTCTTTGAGTTCCCTACTGATGTCAGCCAAACAACAAAAGTGCTGTGCTATTCAACAAACATTCTTAATGGATTTCCAGCAGACAAAAAAAATGTCTGACGATATCAGTGGTGCCGAAATCCCAGCTCCTCCCACATCCTAAGTGCTTTTCTGGTGGAACTTGAGAGGTCCGCTCCCTCCCAAGATGGCAGGTTTAAATTTAGCATGAGGGCGAGCTGGGGTTTGAGGTCCACTTCACTATACATTCAAGTGGCTGACATAATCTGTTAACATCCATCCTGGGTTGTTTAAAATCAGTCAGTCAGAGCAAATAAAATCTGAATGTCCGTATAGTTTAATGCCCTCGCACTCAAGGTGGGACAACCAACATCTGACATTGACGTCAGATATGGGCAGGGAAACAGCCAATGTACATGTTAAGACCTCCAGTAAGTTGCAGGATGAATTATGTATGACATATACACAGACACAAACACACTGCTTGTCAGCTTCTTTGAGCATATCCACAGGCACACACATTTATTTTGTCGCAAAGGTGTAGTAAGTTTCCAGTACGCTGCTGCTGTATCCTTTGAACAGCTGTGGTAAGTGGTAGACAAAGTATTGAGATCCTTTACTCGAGTAAAAGTTAAATTACTGCACTGCACAAATACCTAAGTAAAAGCTTTGCTTTCAAAATTTTATTTAAAAATAAACAAGTAATGTCACCAACACATACTCAAGTATCAGAAGAAAAAGTACTTATTAGTTATGCTTTCACCTTTTAAGCAGCATTTTAATGCTAGTTGGTGGAGCTAATTTGATAATTTTACTTTCCTAATCTTCCTTAATAAATAGTTATTGACTCCTATTTTTTTCTAAAGCTAATAATTGAAAGTATCTGCCTGTCTAATTAGATTATTTCAACGTGTTCACTATAGAAGTCCATTTGTTTAAATGAATGGTTTGACACTTTAGAAAATATGCTTATTTGCTTTCTGTCAGAGTTGAAGATGGTACCACTTTCATATCTGTCCGTCAAACATGAAGCTAAAGCCAGCAGCTGGTCAGCTTAATTTAGTACAAAGACTGGAAACAGTAATCCTGCTCTGTATATTGGTAAGAAAATCCCCCTACCAGCACCTCTAGAGGTCACTAATCAAAAGGTTACATCTTGCTTGTTTAATCCGTACAAAAACCGAAGTGTAAAAACTGACAGTTTGCTGCTTTTCAGGGGGGTTATGTGATTACTTGTTGGCTCTGAGCATAGAGACCAGGAAGTTACTTTGCCTGGCCAAGAAGTAAGTGTGACACATAACCCATCTGTAAAACAGAGATTTTTACACCTTGTTTTTAGTACAGATTAAACAAACGAGATATAATGTGCTAATTGGTGAGCTCACAGGTGCAGGTAGGCGAATTTTGATACCTTTGGACAGAGCTAAGCTTGCTGTTTCCTCCTGTTTTCAAGCTAAACTAAACAGCTGCTGGATGTAGCTTCATATTTGATGGACAGACACGAGAGCAGGAAAGCAGACAAATGTATTTCCCAAAATGTCAAACTATTTCTAATTTTTCCAGAAATAAGTGTGAGAATCTTGAAAGAAGACAGAATAAGCGAAAGTTTACACCTTATTCTATGAACTTTATGAAACCAGTTGATTTCTATTAAAATAATGTCACTGCACTGGCACTGGTTTTCACTTGTTTTAAGACAATTTGACTTTCATGAATCAGTAATAAACAAAACTTACTAAGATGGTAAGATAGATATTTCTGTAGTGTGTACAATGTTTATCTAAGTAACTACAACTGTCAAACAACTGTAGTAGAGTCAAAATATCTTAAGATAGTACAGTATTGAGTAAATGTACTTTTTTAGTCACTACCTCTCGCTATGGTTAATGTAATTTCCCGCACCTTCCTGAGGGGCTCCAACGGACTCATGGGTAACAGCCGGGGACTGCTCAGCTTCTGAGATGGTTGTCGTGCTCTCTGCTTCGCCCTCGGGTCCACTCTCACCTTCAGGTTCCCCCTGTGTTTCACCTTCAGTTTTACTGTCTCTTGCATCTTGAGTTTCCCCTTCAGTTTCACCCTCAGCTTCAATTTCAGCTTCGCCCTTTGTCTCATCCTCACCTTCAAGAGCATTAAATGTCTCACTTATTAAGTTGATGTTGTGGCTATTGAGCAACACAGGTAGAAAACCTGAAACTGAACCACTAAACTCATTATCAGCCCATTAGCAAGCATCATTCTTTTCTTTGGTACATCATACCCATTCTTTTTTTCAAATAACCACACAATTGTATCTAATTGAGAGGGGACCTTTTAAAGCAGACTTCTGCAGTGCAGTCCAACTGTCTATCCATGCATCAGCCTTTTACTGTCCGGCCATGTGGAGAAAAGCCCAGTGCTGTCAGGGTTGATGTTGCCACTTTGCCGATCGTTTCTGTCTAACAGCTTGGAGGCTGAGAGCCTCTCCGCAGAGAGAATCCCTAATCAAATTCCCTTTTATTCCTGCCTCCCTGAGCTCCTCACCCAGAATCACACTGCATTACAACACACTAACATATGCCAACATCCTTCTCTCCCATTCCTCTCTCTCATTCTGTCTCTTTTTCTCTCTCTGTCTCAGCTCCCTTTGCTTCTCCATCCACCACCCATTCTCACCCAACCCTCTCTCATTGCCAGTTTCCTCAATCCATCAACAGTGCTGTCTTTAGTCTAAATAAGAAAAGCAGAACTGTGGAAGAATTCCTCCTGTGCAGGTTAGTGTGATGTGCTGTGATGAAAGGACATGGCGACAGAAAGGCCTATTAATAATGAAGCACACAGGGCCCAAGCTGCAGCACAGAGAGAGGAGATGCAGGAAAAGAGAAATGACTGACTAGAAAGCCAGCTGAACATCACAGGGAGGGAGAGTTTAGGAGACGTACAGAAGGCGAGGTATGGGGTTGAAATTTAAATTTAAATAACAGTGCAACAAAAGGAAGAGACAATACAGGAAGAGAGGGTGGAATGCAACCTCTTCTGCTTTGCTTTGCATTATTACTTACTAGAACCGGAGGGTGAACCAGCAATTGTACCTGAAAGAGAATCAGGAAGAGGAGATGAGATCTTGTTTATTTATGCATTCAATTTGCCTAAAGACTTGTCTCTGCCTCATTCATCAGACTCAGGTGGCGGAGAGATCTTAAGAGCTGTTCTGCTAAATAAGGGCTTGTCATAGACCACCTCTCAGTGTCCTGGAGAAATAAATGGGTTTGCACCATCCTCCCCCATCCTCCCTAATTTAACCTGTTACTCTTCCCCAAACCTTCAGATTCGGAGATCCTCATCATATATGTATGTTTCAAGAGAGCGCTACCGCTTCGCTACGCTTGAATCAAAACTTTTTGCCTTTCTTGCATATTTTCCAAGATTGTATTTATAGTTAGCTTAGCTTGGCATGCATAATGCAGTCTGCAGAGACCAAACTGTTTCGTGAGCCATGTCCTTTTTGTGTAGCATTTCAACCAAGCAAGTTGCAAACATTTAAATTTTTAAATTCTACTAATGGGATTCAGGACTTTAAAAGGGTAGTAATGGGCTCGGGAGGTGTGTGTCAGTACCATTAGAACTGGGTTGGAAAATACAGCAGGATAAACAAAAAAGGCTGACAATAGAGCCATTCTCTGCAATGTGTGTGCAGGTACAGGTATATGTGAGTGCCTGTGTGTCTCTCCTTTTTCTGTGCATGTGAGTGTGTCTATGTTTGTTTGAAAGTAAAAAACTAGGGAGGGGCTGCCCTAGATTATTATTTTATCATTGCTAGCTACTGTAGCTGGCTACACTCTCCAAGAGGATTTCCCCCCACGCACTCCCACATTGTTACACAGCTCTGAACTGCTCTCTGCACTGAGGTGACAACAACTCAGAGAGCTCAGTCTCTCCATCGTCTTCTCTCAACTTCTCCTTTCTTTTTAACTCGCTCCCTTGATCCTGCTTTCCCTTCAGGACCTCAGAGTGATGAGAAAAACTATACATTCATCAATCAAGAAGGCTGGAGAATCTAATTTTTTTTTTTAAAACTGCGCATATTCAGAGAGGTGAATACTGAGTCAGGTGATAATTCTGTGGGTTCGTCACTATGACTGATGCTCTCACATTAAATTGCTGCAGTATTAATTAATATAATTGCTGAAGTATTAATTAATTCTACAAAGCGTTTTAGCATCTTTCAGCTCATTGTTTTGGTTTTACAGGCTGCAACTTTACTGTCATTACACTCATCGCATTGTTTTCTCAGTGACAAACATGTGATTGACTGTATACCACTTGCTCAGCACTAAACAATAACAGGCAAAGTTAGCAACTAACTGATGAACACAGTGGTGCATTTAGCAGTTAAAACGACAGATTTTTCCCTCAGGAGTATGTGGAGACAAAAATAGATAGTGGCCAAAAACACGACTTTAAATGAGTGCTAATGTTCCATGGTGTGTGCTTATTTGCTGTCGTATCGATGAGTTAGAAGAAAAGACTGATACCACGTTCATGTCCGTATGCTAAATATGAATCTTTGTTAGCTTAGCTCAGCATAACGACTGGAAACAGGGGGAAACTGTTAGCCTGGCCCTTCCAACGATAAGAAAGTTTGCCTACCGCCACCTCTAAAGCTCACTAATTAATATGTTGTGTCTAGTTTGTTTAACGCACACACAAATTGTGTGAAAAAAACAAAAAAAAGATTGTAAAAATAATTCACTATTTTACTCTTGGATGTGTGCAGGACTATTTCATGACAGCTTTAGAGTGGCTTGTAGATGAACTTTGTTACCTTTGAACTATTTACTATCTTCATGTTAAGCTAAGCTACCTGCTGTAGCTAGATAGTGAAAGAAGTCTTCTCGTGGAAGTCTCGGCAAGAAAGCAGAGAATGAACTTTTCTTTTAAATGTAGAATAAATCATCAAATTTGCAGCAGTGTCTAAGGACTCAGGCCCCTCTTGGGACACATCCCCTTTCTGCAGTTTTGTATTGCAACATATTAAAGTGTTGTAACTTAGATCAATTAATAGTCATTTTCATGCATAAGACAGTAAAGTAAGCTGACAGGCACCCATACCTAAGGCTTGTGAAAGGAGTCAGCAGTATTGTATCTAATTGTGTGTCAGATTGATGAGTTGGCTCAACACAGTGGGAAGAGAGAAACATGTTTTGAGTACGTACAGGTGTTGGGGGTTCCATTGGGTGCTGGCAGGTAGGAACCAGCCTTCCAGGACTTGGCTTTGAAGCCCTTCCTGCAGCGCTGGCAGTCCTGGCCAGTGGTGTTGTGTTCACACTGGCACTGGAGGTTCCCATCCTGCAGCAGGCACTGGGAGGCATGAAGGTTACACTTACACCTTTAAAGGAAAGGAGGATAGGGCAATGACATAGGTGAGATGACATGACATAAGGCAGCAAGTGAAAGTTGTAATCACACATCGGTTGTAAGGGTTGTGTTAATGATACTAGATATTGTAAAGGGAAAGAAACACGTACAAGTACTGATTATTGAAGGTCTGATGCAGAGACAGAACACAAATGTACTGTGGGAGAATTGCATTACAGTAATAATGTGAAACAAGGTTAAGATCGCAGGATAAAGGTTTTACAAAACGTGCATTGTACGCAGATACTGTAAATAACACTGTATACCTAGACTGTAGACAAAGAGAGAGTAAAAAGTAAGAAAACTTAATATTAAAAGTAACTTCTTATGTGTGTGGATGTATGATGTGTTCGTTTATACTGTATGTGGGTCTATATACCTACGCATGCATCTATAAAATGTAACAGGAAGCAGAAAGGAAAATATGACATACAGTGCCTTCAAGATGAATTGGCTGAAATACATTTATATAAAGATAAATATCACGGTTACTATGTTAAGTGTATTTTTTGGTCTCAAATTCAGTTTCCTCTCTGAAGTCACTGGCAAAGATACAGCACCCGTTTTTCTTTTGATGTTTGCTAGTGCAGTTTGTACAGCTGCCAGTCCGTCTGATTTTGTGGCATTTGATTTCATCAGCAGCTTTACGATCTACACCTCACTGTGAAGTTAAGTATCAACAATGAATCAAACTGTTTTTTACAAAATGTGAAACATCCTGCTGACAGACAAAGGTCCCGATTGACTGGATGTAGAGCTGAAATCAATTAAGTCATCAATGCCAGAAATTCTCAGTGAAGATTTGCTTTATCATCATCATACTTGAGAGTAAACTGAATAATTTTGCACTGTTGGTCAGATAAAACAAGAAAATTGAAGATGTCATCTTGAACTCTGGTTTTCTGACAATTTACATAAGACATAATAACTGAATGTTATTACATGATTACATTTCCAAGAGAAAAAACAGGAATTTCATTGTCATAAAAAAAATAAATGACATGTAAATATCTCTTATTGCTTTTCCTCTTACTAAATAATCCTGGAGCACAGAAAAACAGAGCAGAATGTAAAGTGAATGAAATATTTATACACACTCCTAAAGTTAAATGCAAAATGTTGTAGGTCCAGGGGATTGTTGGGAATCTGTTTACTCTCTATCCAAGACCGCCATTTGGGAGCAACTTGTTGTTTACATTTACTGCCAGTGAAATTTAAGTGTCTCAGTGCGTGTGTGTGTATGAGCATGTGTGCATGATGTGTGAACACACGTGTGCACAGTGCGACCTCAGCAGAGAGCAGGGCCCAGGTGGGCAGATCCAGAGGCTGAACAGAAATGAGGATCTTAAGGACACTCTGCAGCCACGTCTTCAAATTACAGCCTTTTCCAGATGAGCGACTGGACTCCAATCCAGTTTGTTCCACTGGAGTGAACAGCTATCCGTCTGCATCAAATATTCAAAGAAAGGCCCCTGTATTCTGTCGAGATGACTGCTTCAGCCTTCCTTCCTCACACCTTTATTTTCTTTTTCGGTTGCTGTCAACCTCAGCCCTAGTTTCACAACATTACTTTACATACAGAATAACGACTGAAACTTCGAAACACACAGGAAAACATTAGAGACAGTCGATCATGGTGAGTTGTGTGTCATATCACATTTTTGCTTTCTAGTCCTATAAATTAGCCACGTTTCTCTCTGATCACCTGGATGGGCTGACAGGACATGCCAGGGAATCCCTCCACCGACAAGGCCCTGTTTTCCTGCATGCTTTCTGAAGGACATGAGCTGTCCACTTAGCGGGAAGAGGGAAATTGAACATCTCTTTTTCATGGAGAAAATAGAGAGTGAGTGTGTGAAATGAGACAGGTGTGTGTGTGTGTGTGTGTGGGTGCGTGTGCATTTCCGCTTTGTGTGATCGTGATGCATTTGTCTGAGAGTGGCGATGACAGACGACAGATCAGAGAAGCAGAGGCACGGTGACTAATGCCTGCATTGAGTGACTGACAGCGCCGAACATATCCCTGTTTCTCATCTCCTGCATCTTCAGTGATAAATCTCATCCGTCTCATCTTAAAAGTTGAAGCACCTCTGAGTGCAGGATGTAGAAGTTGTAGTTTAAAAATCAATACTGAAGAACAGAGTGATTTTCTGGTTATGCTGCTGTGCAGTTTGTGTCTTGCAGGCCTAATGGCCGTAGCGTGTTGGAGGAAATGGGCTCCCGCTTGTCAATTATCTAGACAGTTGACATACCCTGAGGTTAAAGCCTAAATGAGTTGATGTGTCTGGATCCATGGATTTACCCTGATGAAATTGCACCAAATGTTTACTAAATCCTCTGCTTATTTAATCATTAAGGCTCCATTTTTAGTCGCACAGTCTTGCAGGTAGAAACTTTGTGGACACTCCATCCCCTTGACCTGCTTTTCTGACTCCTGCCACATAGTACAGCCCAGGAAGACCGTGAATACTTCTAGCCTTGCACTCCTTCCGCATGAATGATGACATTCCGCCTTTTCAAGTGCCGTGTCTCTTTAGCTCTCTCTCTTTCGGATGACAGCTTGCACTGGGATTTCTCCTGATCCCTTTCTTCAGTCCCTCCACACACAAATAATACATGGGCACAATCATATGTTAATGTGCAAGATGTCTGCCTTGACTGCAAAGTCATCAAAGTGGTAGTAGCAGCACTGAGCTGAGGGAAAGTTAGAAAGTTAAGACGGGACAGCTGGATCCATCACAGCTCTGTCTATTTAGAGAGAGAGAGAGAAATAAAGAGAGGTGGAATGAGAGAAGGCGAGTGGAGGAAAAGACAAAGAAGGGCTACAGATATCTGGGAGAGAAAGACTCTAGGAACAGGAGGAAATAAGTAATTCAAATGTATTCCAGTCTACATTAGAAACCACACGCACAAGGTGGTGTTTTAATTAGCTGGTGTAATTATGGGTCAATACTTCTGTTTATCAGTCTGTTGGAGACTGGCCTCCTAAGGAAAATGAGAGTATCAGTCGTTTCAGCAAATGGGCAAGAACAACTTGTGTTTACGAAATTCAAGCGACAAAGCTCTCAAACCAATTATGACTCTTGTTCAGTGGGAGGAAGTCAGGTGATGTTATTATAGAGGCACAAATCCGCAGAGGAAGGAGGTCGGGGTGGATGAATGGGTCAACAAAGCATCAGACTTTAACATAGGAGGCTGCAGTTTGTTTCCACTTTCCTACCTGCACGCCTACCATTTCTCTTAACCTTAAGTTATAATCCTGAGGATTTAAATGGGCTTTATGTAGTTTTCAGCGGCCACTAGTGGTGAGATTGCAACCAGGTGTGTGCTCGTATGCATGCTCGCTTGAAATCATGAGCAAGCATAATCCGAAACACTACCATTCTCATACAGAAATATCACAATAAATGCAGGAACACCTGCTTGCAGGCTGTGGCTTTTCTCCAGACATGTTCAGGGTCTGTTACTTCAACGTTCCCGTCTCAGAGGCAGCTCAACACCGGCGCCGTACCTTTCATTCAGCGCAGCGAGCCGCATATTGGCTCAATACTCCCGAAAAAAGGCAGAGTGACAGCTCGGCTATAGACAGACACGGAGAACAGACAGAGCTGGAAACTCAGGTAAACTCCTACTGCAACATTACAGTAACCGTTATATCAACTGTAGGTTGAACTAATCCATGCTCATTACATGATCACAGTACATTTAGTTGCATTTAGCCGACGTGCTACATCGTTAGCTCGCCTGCTACTTTTCAGTAATCATCTTTACTATCTGTGAATCTGTCACTGGAGGCTCAGCAATGTCAGCACAGCTACATGTATTGGATGATAATGAAATGGTTAGTGAGCTGGACTGAATATTACAATGAGATTGTGTCACACTATATAACAGTTAGTAGTAAGTAACTTTACTGTAACTGGTGTTAGTGGATGGCTCTTCCTCTGGGTTGTTGTGACCGTTTTGTTGCAGTGTTTTATGTTATGTGGGTCACGTTAGTTACAGCGACTGAGAGGTGGAGAAGCTGTGTACCTGAGTATTGGTAAACCACAAAAAGGCTAACGTTAGTAAACAAATCGCTCCACATTTGCTTTTTGGCGTTACATCCTTTCTTGCAGGCTAAATCATCAGTGGTACACGGGATAGTAACATAGGTCGCGTTAGTTGGTGAAGTAATGTGGAAAGTGATATAACTTTGAACCGGATAACATTAGCAACTGCTCTGCGTTAGCTGGCGAGCTAACGTGACTAACATGACTCTGTGTTTCTCCAGCTTTACTAATACTCACTTTGTTCTTACTCGAAATTATCTTAACCTGTTTGGTGTGATGGATATAAACCTTTATTGTTGTTTTGTATCCTTATGTGGAACCTGTGTTTTGGTGTGAGCCGGTTGTTTTATGGTGTTAGTGGACAGCATGACGTTAGCTGCCTTGTTGTCACGGGAGTACGAGAGAGGCTCCGGAGCGCGCATAGGGCTGAATCCGACCCGGAGACCTCACATTAAAATCAGAATAGTGGCTGATGCAAGCAACAGAGAAAACAGGCGCGTGCTTCATTTCTGAGTGAGTTTTGAGGCCATTAACAATAAGGCAATTTGATCAATTTCATTGAAAAACTTACATATAGTCCCTTTAAGGTCATGGTTGATTTACTGATTACTGGTGGTAATGGCCAGAACGTTTATATAATACAGGGTCCAGATCTTAGTTTGAAATTACACCTCTATCGACCACAGGGTACCGCAGACATGCCTTGAGTGGCTCCATTTACAGTGGAGTCAAAAAACAACACATTAACTGAGAGGATTCATTGCCGTCACGCTGTTTTAATACATGAGACTGCTGAAGACCCTCAATAATGTCGTCCCACGCTGGCTGTTGTCTTCCCCATTGTGTGAAATGCAGACTTAAACCAGCTTTTGTATTCCATATCAATTCCAGAGCGTGCATTCGTTGTTTCCTGTAAATC